ATTCACAACCTCATCAACTGATTTACCATCATTCCCCAATACCCTGCGTCTAACCTTACTATTACTTACCCGGTGATCCCAGCAGACGCCAGCAATATTTCTAAGGCATCTGTGGTCAAATACTAGTAGCTTACGAGTATCTTCTACTCTTAATGACCATGTTTCGCAGCCGTAAAGTGAAACCGACATTGTTAAATGAAAAGTGAAATCCTTTCAATTTCTAGATACAAGATCTTTTAAATATGTACTGATTTGTATAAATCAATAAAATGTTTCGCAAATGTAACTTTGCATCTAGTGTACACTAAATTAAATCACCTTGCTCTTTTAAAAATTGATTCTAGTAACTCTCAATATAAGTAGACTTTCATTATATATAAATGAACGAAATAATCAAGAGAGATATCATAACTTTATTGAACAAAAGAAACATGTGGTATTTGTTATAATTACAGTAGAGGAAAATAAACTTCATAGTAATTGTTTTATTAAATCCTAATTTTCTTGAGAAAAATTTTTTTTAATGTTGTAATAAATAATTTCGTACACAGAGAACGACAAAGAAATTTTTCGAAAATTGGAGATTCAACTTTTGATTCAGTAAAACACCAATCTCTACATGACTTATTTGAGGTCCGAGTCATATATACAAATAGGGTAATATTTTGCTTCAAAAATTGAGTTTTTTCTATGGTTGAGAGCATGAGTCAATTGAAGTTAGATCACCATGGAAAACCTGTAAGCATTGGACGGCCGTTTAGTCCTAGTATGGGACTTCTCTAAAGTGAGCATACACATTCCCGCATCCCACGAGATCCGAACCCAGGACCTATCAGTCTAGTGTGCGAACGCTTAACCACTAGACCACTGAGTCGGCATCCAACAGTGTTAATGTCTAACTTCAACTAATCCATGAAATTGAGCGACACACCCACTATTATCATCAGTGAGTTACTATCTCACAAATATTTCATCTCGTGATTTTTTATATACACAGTACTAATTAAGATAAGAATTGAAATAAAACCTTTTGGCATAATGAAATAAAACACAAGCAATTAACACATTCAATGATTACGTAAATTCAAACTAAGTAGTGATTAGCCTAAAAAGAAATCGTTTGAAAAAATTGACAAGACATTCGTTCCAATTACGTTTTTTTTGTTGGACAACGTTTCTCAGGAAATATTTCTCACATATTCAATAGAAGTCATTTTTGAAATTTATGTACACTAGTTACGAAACAAATGCAAAAACTGATCTTGTTATTCACTATGACATTTTTACAATGGTGTTTTTGATAGGTTTATTCAAACAAAACTATTTCTCATTCACCAGCTAAAAAAACAGGATTCGTAGTCAGTCAGTCAGTCAGCTACAAGGTAGGACCAGGCACATATGTGCATCGGTCCAGGTTGCCATACCTCATTAGCACAGCAAGATGAACACCGGATTCATAGGAGTGGTTAGGTCAAAGGTTGCAATAAGGATATAGTAGAGGAAGAAAGAATTAGTTCTTAGACAGAAAGAATGAAGTGATTTTAGTCTCTTAGTTTAAGGGAAGACAGGGAGTGTATACACCGACGCCACTGTGATCGATTCTGAGCCATGTCACCAAGAGTCTCCAACCATTGGTTACGAAAGTTACGCGGACCCCAACCAAGTAGTCTGCACTGGTTTGGCAGCCCCTAACTTTCTTCCAACCATCCCCTACCCCGGTTAGCATTGCACGTCGTGGTAATCGGTGTACAGGATTCGTAACACCAATATTTTAGTAATTTTGCTTTGGAGTTGTATCTTAGTGATTCTAAAACGGAGAGAATAATTCATAAAAAGGAATTATTTCATTATATCAGATTATGACCTACAAGATTTCTCCAATAGTTGACTGCTCATTCCATTCTATGTGATGTTACTAGGATTTCCATAATTTAAATCCACCTTAGAACATATCAAAAAAGTATCTGTTTTTATTAAACTGGGAGAATAATTCTTAACTTTAGTCATATGACTTCGGAAGTTTAAATGAATCAAATCAGGAATAATTATACGTAGTTAAGATTGCAATCTAACACGATAGTTAATTGACATTAGGCTGCCATCATGTGTTGAGTATTTGTCGAGAAGCTAACTGACCATGGCAAAGTGACTGTAGTGTGAATTATAGTAGAAAATATATGTCTAGAAAAGATGACTCGATTCAAGTAAAATCACGTCGAATAATCGATTACCAACAGCATCGAGAATCTTACGTGATGTAATCAGTTACTGATGTATTAGGGATGACGTCTCTCAACAATTCTTATATAAATGCTTGTTTAATAAACATTTATTCATAATTATATAAATAGTTTGATGATGGTTAAATCACAGTTAGCTTATAGACAGACAATTTTTGCACTTTTGCAATTGAAGCTACTTCTACATAAGTAGGGAAATGATTGAAACCCTAACTTTGAGGACGTAGTTAATTCTTCTATGACTGATCAGCGACCTCCTCAAACCCATAGATAACTGATTTTCAGATATGCAAAAACAGTAGCGGTTATTTTTATTTCAAATTTTCTATAACCATAATGTATACGTTAAGTGGGGAATGTTTATTCATATACCTTTTAAAGACTTAGTTTATCATTATAAGAAATACTTAAAACTTTTTTATCTATCGTTTCAAGCAACGATGCTCAATTACCTTGAAACATATGCATCGAAAACATTATCCGAAGATCTTCAAAAGTCTTTAATATGAACAAGAGGTAATCACTTTGAAAGAATTATTTTAATATTCGTAGATATTTAAAATTCCAGAGTATAATGATGATGGGCTTCATACAATAGAACGTATCGTTAGCTGAAATTTACCGATTATGATTAAAATCTATTCACTAACAAATTATTTATCATTACTTTGTTATGTTGACTAGTGCAGATCAAAACGTCCTGGTAAATTAATGGTTGAATTCATGAATCAATGAAAGCCAAACCACCATGGGAAACTGGAAAGCATTGAATGGCCGTTTCGTCCTAGCATGGGACTCCTCAGCAATTTGCATCCACGATCCCGCTCGCGGGATTCGGACCCAGGACCTTCAGTCCTGCGCACGGGAGCTGAACCTCTAGACCAATGAGCCGCAATCCAAGTCTTAATGTCTAGCTTCAATAAGTCTATCGCTTTTATTCGCAAAGCTAGAAAATATATCTTATGGCTAAGCCCAAATTTAGACCCATTTGCATTACTCTACTAGGTGTTTGACTACAATTGTAAACCGGTTTGAAAACATTTCTAAAGAATGAATGATTCTGACAATACATGGTATTTCATAGCTTTTTTATACTGTTACCTTTGAAAAATGAGTAAACATTGAACCAAAAAATTATTCTTAACAGGTGCATCACAATATGAATCTTTTTATCACTCAAATTCTTACATAAACAAGAAATCATGTGATACATCAGAACACTTGGAAATGACTCTAAATGAAACATCAAATAGTTCACAAAACGTTTAGGAGATATTAAACAACAATAAAGTGTTGGTTGTTTTTGGGAGATAAGTTTCAGTCCATATGATGAGCATAGTTTAACACTAAGCAAATTTTATTGTTTACACATATGTAACACAAACATACCACTGATGATCCGATAAATAAAAAAATGTGTTGATGTTTAGGCATGGTAATAATTTTAAAGTTGTACAACAGTGAACATTTTTTTATGCATGAACTTGCCAAAAGTTCACATTTAGCCCAAAATATTGCAGAATTGATTGTCAATTCATCGTGCTCAACTTAAAATGCGTATCTATACAGTGGTCTTGAGTGCTGCTAAAGATATGAGGGCGGTTATCACTTCCCGGTTGCCCACACCGTGGAAGGGTTATTCTGAAGGTACCTGAAAGAAAATAGGGTTATGTATTGTTCTGGTGACCTGATCTCAGTGCCTAAGGGACAACTACTTAAGGCCGATCACACACGACTTTTTTATGGGTAATTGTTGTGTTAGCCCCGTACTTGTTGAGACCTTACTGCCAGCGACGGATATTCGTGGGATAAGGCTAAGTTTGCATTTTTAGGGTCAACCTATTCTAACCACACCCTTCTTTATGGGAAGGCAGCATCGCTGTCATGCTGGTTGTCAAAAGGAAACACTTGGATTGTTTTCTTAACATATTTCAAGATGGATGAAACCGCCTAAAATTAGTTAAGTTTTCTACCGTTTTTATATCTATATTTCCGCAAATCTTAGTTATACTGTTGCTAATTTATATTAGTAGTATTACTCTGTATAACAAAGTTTGTAACACACAGGGTACATTGTAGAATTCAATTACTCATAAGAATGTTTGACATAGATAGGATAATTGTGGAAAATACATTAGGATATTTTACAATCTATTAATTTTAGTGAAAACATGATAAAGCTCTCTTAACAAAACACTATTTCATTTTGATCGTTTGAAGAACAATATCATCTATTAAAAGATGGATCAAAAACATAACCTCAATTATTTGATATGAGTGACTTAAGCAACAGCGTTGTAGCAGACACTTCAAAGGAAACTTCCGTGATCATTATATAATGGCAAAATAAAGAACAGTAGTCTGGATTCCACTCACATCTTAAAACATACTTAAATTATTCATGAACCCGAAGTTATCTATCCTTGACTGGCTTTCATGGATATCAGTTAACATCAAATAATACAGTAAAGTCTGTTGAAGTATACAAAAGTATATATCGTTATCAGGAGTATTGGACATCACGTTTTAATGATCCTTATAACCATACTGTATCCTATTATCATCTGAATGATTGTAACAATATTCCAGATTCCAATAGGTAAGTTATTCCAAATGTCTTAAAGTATACAATACGATTATATTTATATCTTAACTCCAAAATTAAATTCTTTTATGAATCGTGCATCGCTTGCTTTTAAAGATAAAAAAGGTGAATGCATTGAGTAGAATAATAAGTTAAGCTAGAAAAAAATAGCTTACCTTCAATGAATTCAATACGATAGTCGCTAAGTGGCCAATTCTCAACAATTTTTGTTGAAGACTTAATCAGTGTTGATGGTGCTGAAAATGCCCAAGAAGATAAATATTTACTATTAGATACTTTTCTATTATTAATTAATTTTTTATTAGATACATCTTGGTTCAATGAATATTTATACAATGATGATTTGTTTGAAACTATTTTAGTTATTGGGTATTTATTATCAGTAACATTATTAGGTGCATTATTTGTCACAGGTAATGATCTATCATGATTTACTTCAGTTATTGATTTTGACAATACGTCACTTTGATTTGCGCTCTCATTCTCAATATTTTCTGTATGATATTCATCGGCTTCCAAACTTTCATGAACATGATTCTTCACGTTTGCATTTTTTTCGACATGGTGAAATGATTCATCATTATTATTATTATTGGTTATATTCTTTTCGCGATGATTATTGTTGTAATGATGATCTTCTTCATTGAATAATAAATCACATTGGATAAATAAATTATTTAACGATGTTAGGGATAATAACAAGAATATTGATGTTAAGAGTAAATTATGATAATTATTTAAAAGCAGTTTCATTTGTAATCGACTGAATACACTCCAAATTCCAGGTGATAAGATATGAAATATAATATGAAATTTTAAAAGAAATCAATAACTATACAAAATCAATAATGAATCAGTACAGTTTCTATTTGAGAGCAACTAATATGATCTTTCATTTTCATCATAAAACATATATCCATATAGTTTATTTTCTTTGATAACGTTTGTACTACCTGCCAAGGAATAACTTTGAAAATACAATAAGCAATTTTATCAGGATTGTTTACAAGCATCTTTGAACCATTAAATGATTGGTTGAAATATTGATATACATTGTGTTCATCATTAAAATTTAACCAGAAAAAAATTATGAACAGTGATTTTCCTTAGAAAATAAATACTGACGTACAAGTTGAAAAATTGAATATGTATAAAGAAAAGGATAATAGTTGTATTTCAAAATAGTGTTGATTTCAATAAAGGAAAGTAAGTAATGAAAATACTTCTTGTTCATCAATTGAATGTCTTCATAATAATTGACTTCTTTTTCCTTGAAAACAAACAAATTAATTAATTAATTAAACAGAACAAAGATAAAAGTTAAAAATGTCATAATTGAAACTAATTACAACCATGTGATATTTTAAAAAATCAATCAATCAATCAAATGAAATAAATTCATTGCCAAAATTTGGAGTCGATTTATAATCTATCATGAATTTTCATTTGTTAGAAAAAAAATAATAAAACATATGACACTACCTGAATAAAAATAGTTTAATCACTGTTTATTTAAATCAGATGAAATCTCGACACTCTTGAAACAGGATACGCTTTACGTCATAATTATACAACAGTTGTTTTATATACATAGGAGTAAGGATTTAATTAATTAATACTTTTCTTTTTGTAATTAGTAGTTTTTTCTGATTGGTCAATTGATGCAATCATGAAAACATGAATTGACCAATAGTAGTTTAGATAACATTTTAAATTCAAGTAATCATTGTTACGAATTATTTAGACAAAAATAATAGAATCATATGAATTATACAAAAAGGATATAAATGGTTAGTATAAGCAGTCATTAACACAAATAGGTAGAATGTGAAGTGCTTTATGACAGATCATCTTTAAAAGTGCGGAAATCGGATATTTTTTTCTCCCTCTTTTATTTAGTTATATAACTTGGAAGAAATGGTTTAATTTGCACGATGTTAAATTAAATTATTCAAAAACATATTTTGTTTTCACATTATTATAACTTTTACTCTGTTTCCTATCAATGTATAACGTGACGATATCGCCAATTAGAGAACAGTGAATTATCGATCGGAACAATGACGCATAAAAACCATGCGAGCAGTCTAGAGTCCTGATTGGTCCTGCTTTCCGCCTAGCCCAGCCAGTTAAGTCTAGAACACCAGTCTCAGCCTCTGCAGTATAAATCGTTTATTTCAAACATACTGGGTTTATATACCGACCAGACAGACCACATCGTATCATAAAATAGGAAGAAATATTTGTACAAGATTTAGCCAAAAGTGGCTGTGAATGTGGGGGGTAGTAATTGATAGACTGGGTATAACTCAAGAATGGTAAGTCGTATAATAACAGTTCATAGGTTAAAATAAAGCTCATAATAATAGAAAAACCAATATGAATATTTCATTTATTTAACGATTATATGGTAAAATTATACGCAAAGGATCGGTCCACAAATGGATCTCAAAAGTTACCATTCATGATTCTCACCGGGATATAACAATTAATTAATTTTTATGATCCATCAAAAAAATGCACGGTTTTTCGAAATATTGTAAGGCTAAAAGTTAAGAAAGTATAGCTTTCTGTTCTCGAAATTTTTCGACATTACAAATATTCTATTTGTTTCTCTGAAATTTCAACATTTCATAGGCATTGAATATGAGCTTAACATTTATTTTTGATAATGTTCAATTCAGGATTAAAATATCTGATTTCTGAATAGTAAGTAATGATGACCAAATTGAGCATATTCTCAGAAGCTAAAAACAGCCTTTAACATCTTATATACAACTACGTTTTACATTAGGATAATAACTTGCTCACGTTATTTACTCGTCTCATTGATCAATTTTATATATTGTGATTTAAGTCTATAAATTTAATTTTTCAGATTTTTAAAGTTTGAATATACCGAGTCTTATTGTTTTAATAAAATCATAGTCATAAATTTTGGAAAATTATTTTTATTTGGCCTTTAAAGAGTGATCATTAGTCCTTTCAGATTTAACGATTTCTTAGTTTATTCTCTACGGTTTAGTTGGTTAATAATTTACTTTGATATTTTAATAATGCCTTCACTTTAGAAGAAAACTCTATTTAACAGCAGTTAATTTGTCATTGTTGTTTACGTCTTTTATTATTATCTATTTTCAATGGTTTTCGTAGAGTATGATTTAAGTTGCTTGCTTTATTATCTAGTTAGAATGAGTAACATATCCATTTAAATCAGTTATTCCATTAGTCATTTATATGTATTGTGCAATTATTTGATAAATATGTTCGATCATTCAGTTATTTCGAATCTTTCTTTATATCTTGTGCACATTTGTTCTCTTGTAGTTCAATGGCAGTTAAATTCATATTATTTGTACTCAGTAATCTTTATTGTTTGCATCATTCATAAAAATGATAAAGGCATGTTTTCTTGTGAATGGATATGTTTCATAAGTACTTAGTTTACAATCCTGATAGAAGTTTTAATCTTCAGTCATTATTTATTCTAACTCATTCAGTCAAACATTTTTAGAGATTAAGGAGATGCAAATTTTTGGTTAGCTATATGATTTTTAGAGTAAAAGTATGTGAATTGCTGAGAAATTACAAAACATGACAAATTACTTGCTTAGTGTTTTTATTTTTTTATATTTCCCATGATCTTTTAACTCCCAGTAGCTTAAAATTTTCATCTAGCCGTTTAGATGTTTTTATATATAAGGAAATAAAACGATCATTATCCTACACTTTCATAGAACATTTGATTTTGTAAATATTTTTAATACATATTTATAGATAAACAGACTGTGTACTGTTCACACGTTATTGGAATATATAAATGTGTCCAACATGAAATATTTATAATTTTCCTCAACTACATGATCTTAATATAACACTTCCTAATAAAATTAATCTGTCAATGTATTTTTATCTTTTAACTTTTATTGGAGGTAATGTCTTATTGTAATGAAGAAACGTTGTTGGTTAGATCCATATCCACAGCTTTTAATAAAGATGGTAGATGTTTACAGTTGTAAATGATTGATTACAGTAGTCCTCGAAAGAATTTTTCAAATAGATAATAAAAACAGACTTTTTAGTAGATGTCGGAAAAGCCACTTTATCGATGCATAAAAATAAAGACAAATATCCATACAGATATTATTGTCTGCGTTCATGCATGCATCATGCAATGTGTAACTAAAATACTTATAAAAATTTGAAAGGTATAACGAGAAAAACCAATTATAACCTCATTACGTTTTACATAAGTTCTGAAATTCATAGATGAATCGACTCCACTATACACGATATGTACTGAATTCAAAATCAAAGAAACATTTAGAAATTATATGTAACTGAATTACGATTATATTTGCTACGATGCTACAAATATCAGATGTGTTAACATCCCAAGATTAGTCTCGTTTAGCAACAGAAAAAGAACGACACATAGTAACTTATGAATCATTCAAAGCACAAAATTCAGTAAATTTCTTTATTAAGGTAGAATGTTAACCAATGTATATCTTAAAATATATGCTCTTGTTTATCCTACTTAACAAATCAAGAAAATATTATGGACTTATATATACAAAGATCAAACTATTATATTAGTTTGACTATAATTAAATGTAGATTTTAATGGCTGAAATAAATATATCTTATTTTCTTCATCTATCATAATTAATGAATGTTGATAAAGTGTTAATTACAAATGTCTATTAGTAATAAAAAACACATTGGTAGTCACATAATCAGAATGAACTAAATACATTGTTCTGAGAAAAGTGATCTACTTTCAATGATATTAGATTTCCATTATTGATTTATTGCAAATATAAAAAGTATATACAAATATCACTGATTTGTATGAAATATATATTCATTTACACTTGAATAAATTTGTTCGATAGACAACAAGAGAGTAATTAATAATCCATGGATTGTTTTCTTTGCTTTAGTTAACCAATGTGTTGTCAAAAATTATAGAATTATTGAGGTAAAAACTTATCCAACTTTTAGTCATCTTAATCATCTCACGTTAGTGTTTTGTAGGAACTTGTATAGTTCAGTGAAAAAGAATTAAATTTAGTTGATAATACGGTGGTAAGTTTTGAGGTGGACGTCCATAAAGTCGAGACTTATGAATTTCAGAATATAGCACATAGGCAAACATCAGTGAAATTCATTTATCAACTGAACATTCTATTTAGGAATTATCATAATTAAACTGAATGAAAGATCCTGTCATGAATGTAGAATTTTCACAATACTAATATGTGCCCCCAAATGCCCTGGTGCGGCCGAGAATGGGGAGAGTCCCTTCTCCCTCTTGAAATACTCTCACACGGTCACGCGTATACAATTATTATCAGGTAAGTCCTACTCACTGCCTTCTCACGAAGGGGTGTTGTTTACGAAATTGAGAGGACGATAAGCGAATGTCCGGAGCATTAACCGGGTCGGTAGATATGGATAGTCAACCCAGGGAAGTTGAAAAACCCTGATTCCAAACCAATGGTGCATATGGGCTCCATTTTCCTGAGGGAACAAATAGCGTATGAACCAGTCGTTGGTCACCGGCTACCATGAGAGTGCATCTCCTTACGATGCTCCACTACCTTGTGGGTCAGACCTTCAGGTCGAAGGCTCCGGGTGTGGCCTACTAAGAGAACCACGTGCTCCGGTTTGGGCAACCAGGCAGTATCACAGCCCTAACACATATCTAATGTGATTTGTGTGGCGCATATGTATTTGGTGCTTCCTTGTACCAATATCTATGTGTTCAAGTAAATAAATAAATACTAATATGTATAAAAACCAATCATGATATAAACAAAAGAAATTAGTGATAAGAAAGAAAAGAAAAAGATAACCTTAAATCTGTTGTGAATATCTATTCAGTCTTTTTGACTGTGGCCTCATTTTGTGTTTTTTTTCTTATTGAACGCTTCAATCACACCATATATTTAATACTGATTAAATAAGTAAAAATAAGAAAATTGAATTCGGTAAAATAAAACAAGGTTACTAATTTGTGAAAGACTGAGAAAAAGAGAAACAGTGGTTTTAATTTACTTTGTGAGATCAAACATTCGTATTGAATAACATAGCTATAAAATTCTTCGGAGTTAGTATCGTGAACTGATTAAAGTTAGACTTTTACACCATTGGATTCCTGCTCAGGGGTCTAGATATTAGAAGTTGGCGCACAAGACCGAGGACTCTGGATTCGATTCCCGGCTGCGGGGTTGTAAATACGCACTGCTTAAGAGTTCCACATCAAAAAGAAAAGGATGTCTAGTGCTTCTAGGTTTACGGTTGTCCTCTAGTTTTGTCAGTTTGTGGTTCCAATGAAAGTTAAAAAGTTCCATAACCCAATTTGGAAATTTTTCAGTAGCATAAACGGGATTTTTTGGCAGTTAAGAGCCAGTAAGGAAACATTAACACATCAAATGTTTATGTGTTTATAGGACAGCTACATCATCATCAAAGATATAAATACCACGTACAACATAGATCTGACTTGTATAGAAACGAACGCTTACACTTTAAGTTTATTATCTCCAGTTTGCATATAGTCGCTGTAAAGATTTCTAACTCTTTTATAACGATGGATAAAATTGTTTCATCATAATGTGAATATATATTTATATTTATACTGATAAATTACTAAAGTAAAAGATAACCAGTTATTTACTCTTTCTAGATAGATAACTAGCAAATAAGTTTCTTCCTAATAAAAGTTTCTCAGAGAAGAAAGTGGATAATAACTTGATATAACGATTATGTTCATCTTGATATTAAAACAGTATATTTTAGTAATTCGATTGTTTACAAATGCAAGTACATTAACATTAATTGTTGGACTATTTTATATGAATCTAAATGTTATTTCACAGAATAAACATGAAATCTAGAAATTATTAATGAAAGACTAAAAAAATATGATATATGATTCTGTAGTTTAATAAAATGATAAAATTGTTTAAAAGTAGAACAGTACGTTACTTAACTAAAGATTTTCATTTACATTTAATTTCAGGTTTATTTCCATTTTAAAAATTAACCATTGGAAACCAATCACATTTTGTGGTGACTTCGATAGAATTATTTAGACTTTACTTATCAATCACCCTGTTAACTGTTATTACATAAATCCCAACAGTGTAGGACTTCAGAAGGCAATAAGAAGCGGAGACTACAGTTTATTACTGAATGACTCAGTTAGTAAAACTACAAGCACATAGTACAAATTTGAGCATAAAGGCTAATGTGTACGAGCAAACGAATACAGAGGTGGATCCAGAGTCATATCAAATCGAATCGAGACAAAGTAAAAGCAATTAATAAGATTCAAGGACATATATTTACGGGAAAGAAAATGATTCATCGCGCGATAGTTAAGCGATTAACATTTAAGCTATGGTGAGATTTTTGCGTAGGCCGTCACATGTGATCAAGAGTACACTTTTATACAGACATGGTAGTGAACATAATAATACAAAGAAATAGACGAATTGGTTCTGTTCGAACAGCAATGTTAAAAAAGTTAATTGAAGGGCTTGACAGAATTTATCATAAAATTAATGTTAGGAGAATTGCTATAATCTAAATTATGTTGAATTCATATGAGTCATCTAGAATGAATGAGTCAATGTAACTTCAAGATAGCTATGATAATAATCGATACACAGTGATGTGCTTATGCTTGATATTCAAACTGTTTTATGAACATTAGTCACTCAAATAATGGGATAACTCATTTACATAATGCATAAGATCAAACTGTTATATGTCAGTGATTACATTAATAAAACAATCAGAGGAAATGAAACTGTATATGAAAATATAGTCTTCTGATGTTGATCAACATGACAGTTCTCCAGATCAAAGTAACCGAAATAAAAGTATGTGGTAATTATGGTGATATTCTGAAGACCACAACTTAAAACATAGTCCTGATTAAATTTTGTGAATACCGAAGTCAACTTGGAAACCTCAACTCAGTTGAATAGTTGACCCTATATTCTGCATCATGAATGTTAGTGACTGAGGTGAAAAATTATATACCCTTACAGACTATAAATAAGTAGTCCCCTAAAATAAATAAATGTTTATAAACAGTGACATAATCTAAATGATTTATTAAACTGTTGACTGAAGTGGTTAGTTCGAAAAATCAATCAAGAAATTTCAATCAGATGAACTTTCAGTGACAGAGCTACAAGTCGACTGAATGAAACGTTAGTAGGTTTTCAAGCTATAACTTGAAGTATTCAGCCAAATTTTAATTTACCTGTCAACCACAAATAATTAATCACATATCAAAATATTGATCACGAAGTATTCAATAATCATTTGCTTTCGCTTTCTGTAACACATGATCCATAATAAATTAAACTAGCTTACTTGCCAAATGTTTGCACCCACTATCTAAACTCATTCTTATCTATGAAAGAATATAGATTAAATTCCTACACTAACCTTTATACCAGTAGTTTCATGATTATTTTGAAGATAAGTGAAATAAATTTGATTTCTTTTCTTATGTGAGTTACCTATTGTTTAAAATATTTACTTTATTCTGAAGCTTCGATACAGTCTTTAAATGCCATTTAAACTGTTTCATCGACCGTAAATAGATGTATTCAATCTGATGTAAAGCTCACCTTATTAAAAATACCTAATGATCAATAATATAAACATGTTTCTTTATATTGTTGGTCGTTAAGTTATATTACAAAATGTGTGTGAAGCTTCGGACCGTTTAAAACCCGTTTTGTTTTTTTCATTACCTTCAATGCAGTCAGACCTTATTACCCTTCTAATTTTATTATAACCCTTCAAAAGTAAACATTTGAGTGTAACAGTAGTTGATTAGAGTAAATATTCTGCGTTCATCAACTCTGTATCACTTTGACCAGGATTAAATAGCTGTCCAGTACTCCCTGATTTTTGATGTTTTCTCAACTGCGATTATTCTGTAAGAAATACAACACATAATAAAACCAACCTTCAAATGAACAATCAAAGTCAGCTCAGTGATAACTTCATTCAAGATACTCTGATGAGGAGCCCTGACTGATGTCGTTCAGACATTCCGTGGGTAAAGTAGTTGTCACTAATTTAGACAGAAATCAGAAGTTTGCACAATAATTTCTCAAACGTTTGGCATGATCAACAATTAGAGCCTGTGTCAAACATAGGTGATGGTCAATCAACATCTTAGTTCTCAAATGTTCGGAAACTCTACAAATTTAATAATTTTTCTCGAGAAGATGAAATCAGCAAAGCCTTTATATGTAATTATACCGTAAAATAAAGCAGTATACTGCCCTATAACAATCATAAATTTATTTATACAGTTAAACGCATCATAGTGTCTAGATTTGAAAATCAGAAGTTTACACTTACTGATGTCTATTGAAATATAATAGAATTATTAAATTTTATTTATTTACTAATAAGTAAATTGACTTCTTGAAAATAGGCATATGTATTTTATCCTCAATGAAACTGATACTTTGTAATCGATAATATTCAAGAAATACAACATTATAAAATATTATCCAGTAAAGATAACTGTCCAAATACTACTCTGAGATAAGACTATCACAATAATAATCTTCACCTTGAATTAATACTTCCATCAGTCAAATAAAATTTTTAAACAAATGGTGTATTACACTTACAATAAACCTATTCTTCCCTTGTAGGAAGAAAACATTCGTGGCATATGTGAAACAGATTAGTAGAGTCCTTTAAATTACAGTTGCTAGCTGATAACTGATAGGTCCTGGGTTCGAATCCCGCAAGCGGGATCGTGAACGCACACTGCTGAGGAGTCCCACGATAGGACAAAATGACCATCCTATGCTTCCAGGCTTTTCATGGTGGTCTCGCTTCAATTGACTTATGATCTCAATTATTGAAATTGCTAGCTATACATTGAGTAAATTGTATCACTGAGTATTTCTAATTATGCGTATTATTATTCGCATTACATATATTGTATTAAAGTAGTATCTCACTGAAATAGTATATAACTGAAAGAAAACAAATATTTGATGAAAATACATTTCGAAAGTTTCTATTCATGTTTTCGCCTAATAAATAATCGATTTGAGTTCAGTTATATATATATATATATATATATATATATATATATATATATTAAAGAAAAACTATTTGATTACCAACTCCACTACTCACATTTTCCTAACTGGGCCTAGGTAAATTTTATACATATTTACTATGTAAAACATTTAGAAGGAAGTGGATTTAAGCATACTTCAACGGTGAGTGACAATTAACAAATATTTATAGGCATACACTATTGATCTTATTTATAACAACCAATTTGAGTATAGTATCTTTCATAATTTACTACACGTCAATCACTATTAACCATGTGTATAATTACTCTCAATTTATTCTATTTCAAATGAATGATATTCGTCACCCGATTGAACTTGTCTTTTTATCATTGTTTTTCATTAACGTAATGTAATATTGTTTTGGATCAACAAGGTAATGTTTTTTATAGAAGAATAAAGAAACCTTATTAAAGAAGGCATCAATGAACGTAACAGTGCTTAAGTATTAAAAATAATAATAATATCACTGTTACCAAAAACTCCGCCTGTAGCTCTTCTAGAGTTATTGGCGGTCCCAGGTAAAGGAGGAGGGTTGGGTATGGGGTTAGCGTCCCCATCCCGTAGAAGACTAACGCGCTAAAAAACGCTTACCAGAAAAAATTATTCAAACCATTTTAACTCTGTCCTGGGAGTTAGAAGGTCTTCATTTAGAAGAATTATGACGCTTCATGGTGAAAGCCGAGCTCCTTCGGA